GTGAGAGGAGGCGGAGGTTAATTTAACTACCACCACAACAAGGGTCAGCAATCGTAGGCCCTATCATCTGAAGACCTACTGTTTTTTTAAGATAAATCATTTCATCATTTTTGAACCTCAGTTGACATGGCACTACTTTCAACATTTCTGTTCCATATTTTTGAAAAAAAAACCCAACAAAACAACAAACAAACAAACAAAATTGCAGTTCATGGAGGTGGCCTCAACTCACGTAATATTTTTCAGTTTATTTTTATTTCATGTTTCCGAACTGTAGGTTGCCTTTGCTGTCACTATGTCGACAAACCTGACAAATCACTTCATTTCCCGAAATATTGCGCTAGTGCGTGTTGCTTGGTAAAAGAATGCATCTGAAGAGAATCTAACTTGTTGTATTCATATCTTGAAATTGAAATAAAAAGTCACTTCTATTGCAACAAGAACGATTAAAAAAAAAAAATCTGAAGATCCATCCCCTCTTCTTTGCGTTCTGTCTCATTGTAGATGTTTTTCGCCCCTTTCGACACTTTAGACCAACTAAAGGGCGGGCTGCTTCGAATCTGTCTATCAAGACCAACTAAAGGGCGGGCTGCTTCGAATCTGTCTATCAAGACCAAACACACACATTTTGTTTGTGTCTTGTATTTCAATGCGAAACAAATCTATGAGTAGTGGTCAACCAAGTGCTCTAAACTTAGATTTTTTCCCTTCGTGTTTTGGGACCTATTTTCTCATTAGAATAAACCCATTAATTTTTCTGAGATTAGCCCCCACCTATGTGTGCTGGTACAGAGAAAAATCGACGATTCTTTCTAAGTGTATGAAACATTTTGCTATTGGCTTCAGGGTTGAGCTGGAACAGCAACGGTCTCTTGAAGGCTACACACACACGTTTATGACTCTTAAAATGAATGTGTTAAATAGCTAAGCCATCGTGGTAGCAAGTGCATGGTTGTGGGTTGTTTTACCAACTACACTTTTAGTACACTTCCACACAACAACAGTTTTAATTATGGAGAAACTATTTGTATTCAAGCATGAGCTATCGCCATTCTTTATGATGACTTATACTTTCAAAGTAGGTCTAGGGGTGGTAGGTAGACAGCCGGAAGCTGGTTTACATCTCCTCATCTACGGGTGTAATGAGCATAATATAATTTGATGCTAACTCTGAACTATGACCACAATCCGAAACGGTCACTCTCTGAAACAGATTGCCTCCGACCTCTGAATAATCGTTTCCCGGTGTGAGCAGGAGATGGCAAAGATATCTTCAGTTAAGTTTACTAGCACCTCCAAGCCACATTTTTGTTTGTTTTTATTTTTACTCGGTAAGATACCTACGACCACCGGATATAATGAGACACGAAGAGAGAGAAAGATAAAGAGAGAGAGAGAGAGAGAGA